AAGGAATTAGGAAAGAAATATTGAACACTGGAGGTTCTTAATAATCATTTTGTTTCTAGCAGACCAGCAGGTACTGCCTTTCAAAAAATACTAGGCCAGGTGACCATCTCTGTCTTTGAAATGACAGGGAAAACATCATGGTTCAGGAGAACATAAAATGCAAAGATTATCTTTAGTCCATTATTATAATAACTTTTTATAGCATGCCAAATATCAGCAATTCTTTAACTTCATTAATTAACATTTCATGGTATCCTAACAGAACAAATCTTAAACATTCAAATCAGTTCATGAAGGTTAATTTAACACTAACCAGTTATCTATGGAGCTTGATAACTGCTTTTTGAATGAGTTTGATTTTTTCCAGTTCTTTCTTGGCCCTTGACTAAGGTTGAGTGCTTAACTATAGGCTTGATCTGAAGTTCCTTCCTCCAAATCAAAACCATCTGCCTAAAAAAAAAAAGCAAGGGAAGAAAGTAGAAACGCATAATGTATTTGCATATTTTTTCCAACCCCAGGTGGTGTCAATCTAATAAAAAGCCACAAAATAAACCATAAGTTACAAATATGTCTTTGCTATCATTACTCTTATTTTTTTACCAAGCCTGCACTTTATCTGTTTTCTGTATATAATGAGTTGCTGACCAGCATTTGCAAGCTTCATATATATAAAAGGTTTATAAAAAAACGTGATATGACTTCTGTGTTTGTGGTAGAGAATAACACAACACAAATCCCTTTTAGCATCCCACATGGTCTCTGAATGGTGAAACAATTTCTATGGAAGAAATTTCTCTTTATTGTTTGCAGCCCACTTGTCGGGAAGTGTATGATTTGGAACATCTCCATGTTGCAATTCATTTTTGCAGTTGTTTGCTTCTCCAGAACTAAAGTAACTGTTTACCTGGCAGCCTATCAACAGGAGAAGAAAATTTAAATGAAATAAATTAATTGTAATTTCTATTTCACTGGTTTTTCAAAAAGTTTCCAATACTTTGGTTCTTTAGAACGTTCTTTTGAAAGAGTGCTTTTTGACTAGTTTAACATCGGAAAAAAGTTGGTGAATCCCAAATTAGTACTCAGCTTGTAGGATAAAAATGCGAACTTATATGAAATACGTACAAGTCCTGTCAAAATAGCTGTGGAATTCAGATTTTTTAAAATATTGGAAAACTGTCCAAGAAGGATTTGTGTCACAACAAATTGCAATGAAAGTTATGTTGTATTATAAAATAATATATAAGAATATAATATAAAACTAATCTTTAATAATGTAACGTAACAATATAATACATTTTATTTAACGACATAATATCATAATGTTATAATCTGAATTTTTTTTTCTAACTTAAATCAAAGCATGTCAAAACACACTGTTGTTTCTGCTTTGTGGTGTTCAGATGATGATCAGAATCAGAGAAATATGAGTGATTGAAACGAGCTGTGGATCAGGCTGTTACAGGGAAGAGGTGCTTTTAAATCGGAAACGAGTTTGAAAAGCTCAGTATTGTTATGATTATAGCATTTCAATGCAAGCCATGTGTGGACATGGTATGAAAATGTTTCTTTAAATTACACAATTAGCAGAGCTGTAGCTCTTATATATGCTGCTAGGACACTGTACTCCTGACATGTGCTTCTGCAACCATAGAGGCTCAGCTGTAATTCCCTTTCTGAAGCCCTTTAATGTGTCTGTTGCATTATTTCCTGGTAGTGAATAATATAATCCTTGTTTTGATCACTGAAATTAGTATGTATGACAGTACTGCATCCCTTGCTTTTTTGGTACCAGCTATCCATAAAGTGCTAGTTTGGCATGGAATGGGTCTTGCTGATTCTTAAAGCTTTTAAAGGTGAAATTTTTTTGTAGCATAATTTAGACATTTTTTCACAGATTATCCTGATTAATGGAAAAACAAGAGGTCTGTATGATGTAGGCATAAGAATAAGTGACTGGGTTGAAGCAGACGAAGTTAACTGTATTATGAGCATAAAAGAGGAATTTGAAAGAGTACGTGGAAACACTGTTGACGGGGAAGTAAGATAAAGAACTCTATCAGTGAAAGCAGTCAGTTGCCTCTGTATCCTCTAGTACATGTCAGTTAGGCAGGCTGGTGTTTTCATTTGGATAAAGGAGTTAAGAAGGAAAAGAAGGAAAGGCAAAGCAAAATATACACATTAGCCTACAGAAACAGTTCTGTTGGTATGGTGGGTGATGTTAGGTGATGATATGGTAGAGAAGAGAAACAAAGAGACAGAATCAAGGACAGAGACTTATGGAACTGCAGGCAGGGCATTGAAAGGATTTGTTGCAAAAGAGCAAAAAAAGAAGTAGGAAGAGGAACATCACTGCATTTCTACAGAATTCTTATTTTATGGGCTTTTGTGAGCTTCATGATTTGTACCTGGAGTAAGAATATGGAATACAGAGCTATAACTTAAAACTTTTAGAAAATATAAAGTGTTTAATAAAAATGACTAACAAGGAACAAGAAAAATCTGCTCTAGACTCTTGGGGAATGAATAGAACTCCTTAACCATTATAGCTTTTGTTTTTAAAATAGTTTACTTTTGCAGCTTGTGCGCATATAATTTTATTTTCCAAAGCATATAAGATTTTTAAAGTTCCTAAAGTTTTAATTTAAAATTTAAAAATATCAATTACTTAGCTTAAACATTTTGTTAAATACTTAACATTTTTATCTGATTATATCTTGTTTAGAAGCATAATTTAAAGTAGAAAAATAAGTAGTACAGCTAATAAAACAACAATATAAACAAACCAGTTAATGAAAAATCGAATTAATATCCAGAAAAAAAGTCTTGAATTATATCTATGTAGGCATGAGTTCGTTTTTAAGTTTAAGAGGCAGAAAGCCCGTTGCTGGATGCATTATAATGCATAGGGTATGTTGCTGGTCACAGACCTGAACTGTCTGGTGATTAGAGTATGTGCTTTAATTTTTCACATCTTAAATTTTTTTTCCTTTTTTGAATTTACATGGTGAGATTTCCTTTAAGCGCCTCGTATGTTGTGCAAGAACCTCTTGCTTTAATGCTGTTTTAAACCTGCTGTAGTTTGACACAACGGACAAAGATAAATTGTTGCTTAAAGATACTTTTCTCAATTTGATTTATTATTGAATAGCTGAAAAATTAATTTAGACATCTTTACCTAAGTCACATCCCATGTATTAATTTCTTTTCTTGAATACTGACAGAGATGTACATTCATATTGCTGTTGGAAATATACGTTCATAAAAACCTCACATTCCTCCTAACATACCATAATGCTTTCACAATAAAGAATATACAGGTCGATGTTTTGCTGCCATAAGGCATTTCATACCATTAAAATAATTGACTGGATATTATCCAAGGCATTTGATGTAGTGAGCAGTAATGTAGCTGTGCAAAATTTTAAATCAGCAATAAGATGTTTATCATATTGGACTGAATTCTTTGATTCTGAGTTTCTGAATGAATTCTGAAAGAATTTCTGAAATGCTGACAGTTCTTTATGTAATGGGGAAAAAAAAGATCTGGCTCATACGTAGCTGGTTGCTGTTAAATTGACTCTGGGACTTTAGGCAAGCAAGATCAGCAGTGTAGATTAAAGTACTTGAGCCTTACGTGCAGTCATTTATGAGGATGGATGTTCCTGAAGCATCCCTTTTACCACTTCATTGGGCCTGGCTACAGCTCTGTTTCCTGCAGGATTAGTATCATTTACACAATGTAGACTGAGCTTTGGGAAAAGCTGGGGATATCCGAAAGAGACAAACTGTGAAATGTTTAAGAGGTATATAGTTATCCAAGTCTTTCTCAAATCAGTTGGTATTTAGTACCTCAACCTTTCAGGTAGCTTTGCAAATCTCTAGCAACAGTTTTGAAAAAAATAATTTTTCATTGTGTCAGTTTTTTGGCATTCACATCTAAACTCAATAGTTTCTGCTCTGTAAGGTGAAGACCACAGTGGGGCTGCCTAAAAAGTGGAACTGAGAGTTTCTTTATTTTTTTGCAAAGAATAAAATATAACTTTTACACTTGAAATAAATTACAAGATAAGTGTTTCCATGATCTGTAAAATCATGTGTCTTATTTTAGAAAATTAAAATATCTGATCTTTCAGTCTCTCTCTTTTGCTTGTTTCCTGTTTGCTATCTAGTCAGATAGACTTTGGTTAATGAAAATGTGGTAATGTAAAAAGTAAAAAAAATAAATATATTACATTATTTTTGCTAGTCTGATGTAGTTGAGACATGTAATCTGAGACATGAGCTTTATATACATGACATGGCATCCGTGGACCTCAGAGCAGCAGCTGGAACCTAAGTGAGATTGCACACGCATCTCAAATATCACTAGAAACCTCTGCCTAGGCAAATATATGGAGCTTTTGAGAGCAGTCCTGTAGCTCCTCTGACTTGTTTTCCTTCATACCTTCAACAGTAAAAGATCTCTGAATTTAGCAGTAAAGATTTTCTTCAGTTTTGTCTTAAGGCAATGATGACCATTGAAGAAATTGCTTCAATATATGATTCTCATATTCCCTTGTTAGTTATAGATGCAGAGAAGAAAAAAAAATTAAACAATGAGTTTTGACTGCTGATCAGCTTCTAAAAAAGGTGAAAATAATTGAAACATTGTTAGAGTGACTCAAATAACAATATAATACAACTATTTCACTAGAAAATTTTCAGAAAGAGAAAATTGAGAAAGTTTTTTTCCTCAAGCTCTCTACAGCCTTATTTCACCACATGCTGAACATGCTTGCCAAGAATTGAGTGTACTATTTTTACATAGGTTATTCGATTTACTGACTGTATGGACTTTTTTTTCAGCGTTCCAGTGAATCTGTAAAAATAAGCAGTATTAATTGCCATAAATGTCTACTGACTTATTTTTTAAAATCTGATTCAAGTTTAAGCAGTTTGTGAATTTTAAGGGAAGCTTTTGGTTATACTCAGAACTCTTCATCTGTACTTCTTTGTTATAGATTGAGGAGGATACGTGGCAGAAATACTACCTGGAAGGAGTTGCAAATGAAATGTATACAGAATATCTGTCTAGTGCCTTTGTGGGTTTGTCCTTCCCTGCAGTTTGTGAGTAAGTAGAAATACGCACTAATATACATAAGTATTTGCCTTTTCTAAAGAAATATTGCTGCAAAAATCTAAGGTTTCTGCAGAAGACCATTTTACTCTGCTACAGTCCTAACGTTGCCACATCAGATGGGATCCAACAACATAAACATTAAAGCAATCAGTGCATGGAAGTATTCCAAACATTGTGATGCCTGTTTTCACAGAGAATTGGAATGAAGTGATTGTAAATGAAAACATAAATGTTTTCAGTGTTGAACAAATTCATCAGCAATCCATTTAAATTGAGTTATTTACTTGTAAGTGCTGTCCTATTGTTTCTCCTAGTGATTTCCATTCTTTGAATAGTGATTGTCATTGTCACCGTCTTGGCTTCTGTCCCATTCCAGGGAAACTATTAATTAATTGAAACAGATGTAGTGGAGTCACATAAGCAATGTGGCATCCAGAATTCTGTGGAACTGGTTGCAAACCACTTTCAACAAGTGAAATACGTCAGAAAAAATCTTCTGTATTGAGAAAGGACTGTCTGAAACATATAGCATATAACCATAGCATAAGCCATGCTACAGCTTTATTTCTAGAGACTGGAAATCCTTATATTTGTCCTGGAATGTTTCTGTGAATGAGAGATTTGTATGCACAAGGTTTCTATGATAAATACTGTGGCCACAAACATAGTCAGGATAGTTTAGAAGTCATATTTCCTCTTCTGTTGGCATTGTTCTTCTTTACAGCTGTACTAAAACGTCACAACAAAGACTGTGGGTAGCTTTTGCTAGGCACAGTTCAAATGCTTGAAAAGAAACAGAAACTGAAGAGTTTGAGGTCTAACTACATAACACAGAAAAACTTCTGCAGACCCCATTCTTAGAGGAGGAAATAGAGGATATCATCTTTTATGTAAAGGAGAATGATTTTCTTTAAACTCTCTGTTTTCCCACCTTTTCTGATTTCTACAGTAGTGGAGACATAGGTAATGGCATAAGAATGAGAGAGAAACAACTGTTAGATAGATGTTATCTAATTAAAAATCTGTCTTTTTCTGTGATGTAGCTGTGACAGAGCCTAGTCTTCAATTTTCTAGTAAAATGAAGGGGCTCACAATCCACCGCTCCACAGTGTTAACCAGACCGTGACTAGGTTATTGAGGGAAAATGTGTATTACTATAAGCACAAAACTTTGCCTGGATATCTTGAAATAGAAAATCTCATAACATATTCTAGAAATCTGGATTATATTCAGAATGAATAGTAATTCGTGCTGTTTACCCTAACTACAATAATGAAAACTAAATCTCCACACCAAACGATTGTCAAATAGTTGAGTTTCTGTATGAGTTTAGAAACATGTGACTGATACTGTATTTGACATAAAGCTGACATTCATTTTACTGTGCTGGTAGAGGTGATCTAAAATAATCAATAAAGAAAGGGCATGTATTGAAATTTAGAAACATGTCTAAATTTTGGAGCTCTCTCAAGCATTTGATTATCTAGAGGCTTAATTAACTGTGTTTCCTAGTTTAAATTAAAGACAAAGATTTATCTCAAATTTTCCAACAGTTTAGTAACTCTATTAAATTCAGGTTAACTAAAGCATCTTGAAAATTAAGATGTAGTGTTACATATTAATGAGTTTGGTGCATGGGTATTTGTATTACTGTAAGAGTTGGCTATTTAATTTCCAGAAGAACTGAAGGACAGCAAAACGTCCGTTGCATTGGTTTGTGAAGAGGAAATAAAATCAGAGAACAGGCTTAGGGTGGTCAACCACTCACAAAATATACAGCCTTTGAGAATAGTTTTTGTAATTTAGCTTTTAAAATGTGTGCAGTCAATGACATTTTAAAACCCTGAAACTAAAGGATGTATACTGCTTCCTTAGGTTATTGGTCTTGATTGCCAGTCTAGGAATGTGATTCTTTGGTAAATAGGCTGCCATACAGTTTGGATAACAGGAAGTACAGAAACATCTCCTCTTTCAATGGGGACAAGACGCTTAATACTGACAAATTTCGAGCTTTTTATGTCAACAACAGGATGAAGAATTAGATGGAAATAGAAGTTAATATCAGTCTGCAAGTTTTATTTATAACTCTTGAGTATATGTTTATGTACTGTGTGAACATATTCCTACCAATATATTTTCAGTACGTGAATGTAATTCCTGTCATTCTGTGCTCTTGGATATTGTTGGACCAGGTGTGGATAATGCTAATTGAAGAATAAACTAACCAAACTGTCCCCTACTAGTGCAGTGTCTTCTAGAGGGCCTTCTAATATTTACTAATGCAAGGCTAACCTTCACCTGTCACTGTCTTGACAAAAGAGAACTGAGTTAGGTGAACAGGTGACACCCAGCGCTGGTCTGCATTCTCTCTCAACTCCACAACAGATTATTTCTCTTCTGGATATATTCATAGTAGTACCACTTTGTAGTCTGAGAGTGACTCAAAATTAAGCCAGTCCTTCACAGAGCAAGGACAGCATGGGCTACGTGTAACTGTTAAGTTCTTCCTTTTATCTTTGAATCGTTCTCTTCAGCTAGATTTCTGACTTGACTCAAAGGATGAGGTAAATCTTAGACACATTAAAACAGATGTTTTAAGGTCCCGTTGTGCTCTCTAATTTCATCTCAATGTCCAGCAACCTTTTCACAAGTATAAAAAGGCTTCTTCAATAGAAAAGTATCCATAGATCATCACAGAGGCCTTACAGCTTCCCACAATTCTTTCTTATTTAATGCATTTAAAGTTATGGAGGCCTGTATTGCCTTTACCATGATTTTGGATAACCTGGATTTTACTACACTTGGTACAAGCAATAATGAGTGGGTTAGTAATTGCTGGACAAATTTTGGTTTATTAATTCAAAACTCTATATGTGGGTTTCCTGCTAATACCTAGAAAACTAATACCCGCTTTTATAAAGCAAGCTTGGTTTCTTTGTACTTAAAACCTTAAGTAGAGCTCTTACAGGAACAATATCCTTACTTAGCAATCTTATTCCAACATGATCAGCTTTAATGGGACCAAGAAAGAACAGTGGAATTATAGTTTAGTAGGATAAGAGTACACCAGATTAATGAAAGATAAATATTTATGAAACTCCTTAGCCACGTGTGAATTGGAGTAGGATGTATTCCACAACACTTCTCAGCACTTCCATTGCATTTCAAATCAGGAACTGAGATAATATTTGATGTGGGAAATACAGAGAAAAATCGATGTAGAGTTCTGTATTGATGTTTCTTACATTCCATTTTTTCATAAACTGACAGGTCAGCAATCAGAACTGTTAAATATTCAGCTCATGCATTCACTACCATCCTGACAATGATAGTGGTATCCTCTGCTATAAGCAGCAAATTTATTTTCTCACCTGCTCTTGGTGTTGTCAGCACCTGATGGCTGGAACTGATACAAAAATTTGGTTTGTATTAAGTGTTTCTGTGTGTATATATGCATATATAGAGAGAGTAATGTATGTCATTAGGAGTGATGTATGCCATGTTATCATGAGTGACATAAGTCACTCTACACACACCCTATTATTTATGTAATGACTCAAGAACCCACTAGAAAAGAGCCTGATCTTTGTCAAGGTTCACCCATATTCTCTATGTACTTTTGTATTAAAATGTACATTTGGTATTCTGTTCCCCCACTGGATGTCTACTTTTCCTGCCACCATGAATTCCTCATTATCCTAGTGGTGTTCTGGTCTTGGAGGTCTTTTTCCACTGTGCTAGATTTAAAGAGTACTTTGGCTTTTTCAATTGATTTATGCAAACCTTGGTGAACTTCAGTGTGATTTTTATTATTTTAACTTACATTGATAGTTTACAATTCAATCTTATAGAATTTAATGGAAGGTTTTTTCTTTTGGTCTTTGAATGACCCCATAAGTTCTTGATCTCCTAAAGAAAAGAAAAAAGGCCTTGCTCACAGCCATACATGAGTGATATTCAACAAAATTATTGGTAAAAACTTTGTTAGGCCTATAGAATAGATGCATAAAAGACTCATAACAAATGCTCAGCTTCTTCACAAGATGGGGCTGATAGGTATCCCCTGTCCCTGTCTGTTACCCTCTTGGAGAAAGGAAGCTGGTCTATTGTAACCTTCAACCGGAGGATCATTTAAAGACTGAGGGGTAAGAACCTTTTCCAGATACTTCCCATGATGAGCCTTCAAAGATAAAATAGCCTCATATCATGATTTAACAAAGCAAAAGAAAAGAGATCAAAAAGTTTTGTAACTTCTAATTGCAAGGTTCCTTATGTATCTGGGGAAAAAAAGCAGGTATAAGATCTTTCTTATTATAATCATATCAAACTTATATTTGCACAATACAGTTAAATCATGAGACTTACTAATCCTAATGTTTAATTGCATGGCCATGTGCATGTAAACCTATTTATTTTACCACTTAAATAATTTTAGTAAATGCGTAGATAAGAATGAGATACTGATGCCAAATATTAGGGTAGCATTAGAATTATCTTTTTATGTTGGTTTTGTTTTCTTTTTGTCTTTTAAGCAGATATATATAGACATAGATTATCAAGTACTGCACAAAACTGAAACAAAGGAAACCAATTAAATATGTAGGAATGTAGATGATCAAAATAAAAAAACCCATAGGTTTAGTGATCTTGACATGTATGGCTCATAAAGTTGTATTTTGTATCATCTTTTGTAAAATAGATGCATAACAGCCTTAATATAACATAGAGGGTACTCTAGTGTTGATATGTTTGAAAATCTATTTTTTAAAATTTTTCCTTTTTGACGCTGATAGTCTTCATTTATCTGTTAATATTGTGGGAGGTGATGGGCTATTTGAGAATTCAGTAACTATCAGGATTTTGTCTGCCTGTTTCTGACACTGGTTGGAGTTCTGCAGGTCAAATAAGACTTTTAATGGATTCTGAAAAAAATCTTGCCCCATCTGTTTGTCTGTTTCAATATTTTTTATTGTTTCAATATTATTGAAAGATATACAAAAATATTAGTAACACAGAAGTAAGCAAGTTTGTAGAGAAGCACTGAGCACTGGAAAAGTTAGTATATGGCAGCCATCTAATTGAAAGGAGAACCCTAGAATAATTTGTGACGAATTCTTAGAACAGGAAGCAGGTAGCATTGAATTTGCATATACTTCAATGACAAAAGTGGAAAATGCTTTCTAGTTTGTTTTTTTTTTAAAAAAAAATGCTGTTTCTTGGTTTATTTTCACGGAGCCTATTGCTTGAAGCAAATGATGGTATGCTAATTCACAGTTCTGCAAGTCTAGGAATATCACCCTTGAGTTGTTTTAATAAATAGCCACTTGTACAGAGTTTTCAAAGTGAAAAAAATCTGTATTACAGTATAAAAATGTACTTCCCATATATTGATCAGAAATTGCTTCCAGTCCTGCTGTTCCTCTGTGACAGTAGTTGGCAAATACTGACTTATTAATAAGCGTCATTATTGTCATTTTAGTTTAGTACATACATATTTTCTAAGGAATGCACACTACAATCAATACATGGCTGAATTCAAGCACAGATTTGAAAGATTTCCTCAAGACATCCACAACCGTAGACAAATGCAACCTTTGCTGTTTTTTCTTAAGTAGACTGAGTAACATAGTGTGTTGGTGCTTATGCCACTGTTCTCAACTTGTTTATATTTTTAGGAAAATATGTGTTCATTTTCTTCAAAATAGAAAGATGTTAATGCATGTTCTATGTATACCTAACTGAAAAAAAAATGGAAAAGATCTTAGTGTAAGTTCTCAAAGAAAATACCCCATAGCCATCTCTACATATGTGATTTCAGTTGTGAAAAAGGACTGACTCTTGGCCTCTTCTTTTCCTGCAGACTGGTGTTTGCGAAACTAAAGCTCTTGATGATAGCCATAGAATACAAGTCGGAAAAACGAGAAAGCAGGTATGTCCAATGCCTACAAATTTTGAAGTTCTGGAAAGCACTGTCAAGAATTTTGCCTCTTTTTTTTTTTTCAGAATGAACATAGCTGTTCTTATAATTTTGAAACTGAAATTTCGAAGTATAATTAGCATGCCATCACATTACACCATTTCACATAGTGCTAGAAGGCTTTTATTTCTCCTCTATTCTTCTTCCCTGAAATGAATTCAAGTCAGAACGTTTAGTGGAAGTTGGGGGGCAGTGATACGTATATCCCGTATTTAGAAGTGCAATTCATTTTTACTTAAAAAAAAACTTACATTGGTTTTGTTCATAGTCTATATGTTTTAATTGGAGGTCCAACTTATTTTACTGAAAATGGAAAAGTGGAAAACAGATGTGGTACCAAAACTCATTATGGCTATGTCTGTTCTCAAAATAATAATTTCATTTAAATGAGTTTGGAAGAACCAATTTAGATATGATACAGGATAAACATAGTATTCATGTGGTGTCTGTTCTGACAAAACTTGCATATACAAATAGCATCATAAAACTGGAAAAGGTTAATTTAGTCTTAAAATAGCCAACTGGATGATCAAAAAGAAAAAAAAAAATCATTATTAGTAGTATAGATTCACAGACAAGAAAACTGTTTCATGCATTTTTTTGGTACAAAAATTTGTAAAAATCTGAGTGAATATTGGGGTCAATCTATCAACTTATCCATCAGTGCTTTACACAACGTTCATTTTTGTATAACAAAAATGTTATAAATCTATTCTGCAACATGTGGGGAGACATATGATAAAAATATGACAATACTGACTCTGAGCTGAATTTTATTTTCCTCTATATTACTGTAGTAAATCTGGAATGATACATATTAGTTCATCTTATTTTTGGCCACTAATTACCTAAAACTTTTAAGGGTGATTGTTTCTCCTCACAGGAGAACCAGTTCTGCCATTTGAGGTCATACCACAGTTTCTGAGGTTTTGAAAGTTCATTTTAATGTTTATTATTAAATGTTGTCATATTTCTTTATGAAAAATTTCTATAAAACTTACGTGGGACATTTGACATAGAAAATGCAATGTTACAACTGTTTATAAGAATATTTCCGTGCCCTACAGTTGGTTTTGCTTGACTCTTTCCTATGTTATAAATTGATATGTGAAGTGGTGTATGTGCTGTTGGGTATTATTTTTGTCCGCACTATGCTGATTAAGAAATTGAAATATCTGAGATTTTTTAAATGTTTCTAGCTTCCATGGGCTTTTAAAATACTTTTCCACCGAATGATCTCATTCTGCACTAGCCGATGTAAAGCAAATGATTTATTATTCTTTTGTCTCTGAACAGTTTAATATCTTCCTAGAAAAAAAAGAAAAATACTTTAGTAACAGCAGTGGAACTATTTACCAGATTTTGTATTTCCAATATTAGGCAATATTTGGTTTCTGTTGGTTCTCCTAAGAATTATTGCCCAACTTTAAGTTGTCATTACTTCAGTTATCATTTACTTACGTAAATGCTAATATTACAGTCTTTTTCAGTAATAACAGATAATTCATGGCTTCCATATCGTTCTTTGCACTAACTTCAGTGGGAGTTGGATTGAGTTCTTAATCACAAGGTGATGCAGAGGATCCCTCAAAAAGTAACACAATGTGATAAAATAATATATTCCTTCTTATTTAAAGCCACGCAGGTAACAGTTCACAATTAATTACTTTGGTAGGAAAAAAGAGCCAAAAAATTGCAGGATGCAATACTCATAAAGGGATATTATGCAACTAGATGTTCTGAATACAAATGTGAAAGAGGACAGCATGTAAGCTAGATGTTCACATTTTCTTATAACCTGATCCACGGTAATATCTGCTGACGTTATTCACCAATGATAATTTTATAGTCGCTGTGCAGTGAATCACAGAGCTACATGGAGCATATCTTTACTGTTCTACTTGTTCCTGTGCTTTTCAACCCAAATATGTTAAGTACATATTTGTGGTTTTCTAAGCTGGAACCTTTTAGTCTAATCAGAAAGGTAATGGAACAAAACTTCAGTTTCTCCCTTCTTAGGTGTACTTACATTTCCTTGCATCTTATTAAATGAAAAGATGAAAAATTAAGATAAAAATTAGACTAACGTGGTTTACATGTGCAGGCTGTCTTTCAACAAGAAAAATTTGCCAATTGAATTTCTTGATGTTGACTTTGGAAATGTTTTGTTCTACTTCATATCTTAAGTTCTTCATCGGTAATTCTTTGTAAAAGTGAAGGGGGAACTGATTTTGGTACCCTTTTAGCTTTTGCTCTTTATGAGAGTGAACAACAGTAGATATGTGCTGATTTATTTTATGATTATAGTTTAGATTCATATTTTTGTGAAACTGTTGAGGTGTTTTACATAGTCCAGATTTTAGAGCAACAATGGTAAATATAAATTAAAAAATAGAATATTATCTGGACGGCACCCTTTTATTAAGAGCTAATATTTCCTGCCATAGCTGAGACAGGTCTAGGACCAGTATTTTCAGGAGCAGAGGAAATTTTCAAAGCATTTTCTCTGCCTAAGGAATGAGAAGATCTTACTCAACAGTTTAATTTTTATTACTAGTCATAATAGAATATCAATATAAGTAAATTACATGTCTGATTTTTTTACTTAGACAGGAAGTTTCCTTTTAAGATTAGTTTCATCTGCCTTCATCACTCAGAGCTAAAGCAGCGCAAAGAGGATTGAGAAGCATGTGCAGCTCTCAAAAGTTGTAATGTGAGGGCATTCTGGTTTTCCTAATCTCCCCTCTAAATGTTCACTTCAGTGTTAAGGATAAATCCTAGTACCATTTTAAGTCAATGACAGAATTTTCATTGACTTTGTTAATGCCTTTGTTACATATAGAATGACATAAATGCTCATTTACCTATGCACCTTTTTTTTTTCCCCAGGCATTCTCCTAGATGCCGTTTTTCTAAACTTTTCTGATTTACAGCCAAATTCTGTTAACTCTACCATAGGGAATTCGAGATCAATAGTAATTATAAATCATGAGAACTCTAACTAAGCAAATATTTATGTACAAGCTCGACCTCAGCTAAAGCTTCCTGCTTGAAGTTGGGTTTTTTCTCCTTTTCTCCTGACTCCTAATAAAGTTACACAAAAGAGTAAGCACACCTTGATAACAAGTTTTGACAGTATTAGATTGTTAATTATAAACAATCTATGATTTTGCAAGATGGCTTGAAAGTAGAGGTTAAAAGTTTACAAGCCTAAATATAGGTAAAATAGTCATAGATATAATACAAACTCATTTTCAAACAGTGGATAAAGTATCTATAGTATGTTAATCTTTTAGGCAACTGTTTCTGATCAAGGTATCTTGAAGATTAATCAAAATAGCCATGATTAGACTCTTTTTTACCTCTACATTTTTATGTTTAATAATGTTTAAATTACTGCTCAGTTATCAAAGAAACCTGTAAATTTACAAAACATGATTGAATTTAGTGGGTTTCTGAACAGCTACTAAGGTATGCAATTTAGTAGTTCCAAGACACAGTATGATCCATTCCCTCATCTCTAATTAGTATCTTGGAATATTACAATCTGTTATTAAGAGCAGGAAGCACTTCTTTAAATAAGTTTTTGTGTCCCTGATGCAAGCCAAATATTTTAGCTTAAAAAATGGTCTTTCGTATTTCATTTGTAGAGAGATTTTGTTTCTTCTGTAGAAAAAATGCTAAAGGAACATGGAGAACGTCAACTTGAAAATATCCCAGCAGAGCTTGCTGAATAGATAGCAAAAAATACCAGTTCAGAATGTAGACATTCAAACTCCTCATCTGAAATCCCTTTTAGAGATATTTTTGCCTTTCTTTTCCCGTTGTATTTTGTTTTGTTTTGTTTTTTCTACATGAGTAAGCAAGAACGATAGCCTAACCAGGATTCTTCCCTCCTGCACCCCATGTTTACTCCTCTTGTTAAATTTTCTCTTTGTCTATCCATATATTTGTTCTCATTCTCAGCAGAAAAACCTTTGAGCCTTGAACACTTTTAAATAAAGGGTTTTTTTGCTTTTGCTTTGGTGTCAGTTGATTTCTTATCAAAGTGTTTGATTTGCAATTTTTTTCTTGTCGTTTGCAGAAGCCGAAAGCGGTATGCCCTCTTCGTTACCTTTCCTTCCAACCTCAATCCTACCTCCACTCCTTCTAACTTCAGGACTAATTCCTTGCCAAGAACACAGGAAGATAACATCTTTGTCTATCTTTCTCTGTATATACACACACATATATACATATATATATTAATCTGTCTATGTGTGTGTGTATATATATATCTCTGTGTATATTTATATATGAGCCCCCAGTCTCAAAGAGGAGAGAGAATAGCATTTTGTCTCTCCACTGGTTCTTGTAACTCATGCACTAACTTCTTTGCAGGAAATACAAAATAAAACAGGATAAGTGTTTTAGGCTTTTTTTTTTTTTCCCCTTGTGGAGTCATTGATATATCAGATTGTTGCATTTGAAAAGCAGACTTTACTGTTAATATCTCCCCTCCTCTTTTTTCATTTGTACTGTATCGTGACGATGTATATTTCGTCTTTACCAGCCTTTGTGCTGCCATATTGTCTCCATATTCACACCTTCATTGATGTCCTTCTTTCCCCGGAGTCTTCCTTCAAAACACGTCTTACAATACCGTAGTTCATGTTCCCTTGTAGTCTCATCTTCCATTAACAACAACCAAATACCTGATTCTTTGCATTGCTGGTCCTGTTTTGAGCCCAGTTATTCATAATACAGTACTCATTAAAACTGTTGTACTGTTCCAGTGAAAGTGCCATGGATAGTTTGCTATATGTCGCATTCATCTTAATGACATTTATTAAGCTCATGTATGAAGATGTTACAGAATGTATTTGTTTCTCAGTTTTGTTTTTTCTTTGGGATGGCATGTTTTGCATTTTCTTTTGGTATACCATGCTGTGAGCCCCTCTCTAGTCTACATTCTGTCTTGCTGCTATTGATTTGGATGAATAAGGCATGCTCTTCCATATCATCTCCTCTCCTCATCTCTTTTCCCCCTCCCAGCTTCATTTTTCTAATTGCTTATAGCAGTCTGTCTGACTCTCAGTGGTGTTCTTTGGATACCCATTCTCATTGTCCAGACATGTCAATTCCCTTCTTCATACTTTACAAACTTTGCTTTCCATGTCTGTTCTGTTGCGTGTATTGTATGTGTTATATTTATTTAATTTTTAGTCTTATTCTCCTGTGGTTTCTGAGTAGATGTGTGAAAAGAGAGGTGGCTTCCTGTCAGTTTGGCATTATTGATATGATCCAACTGCAGAGAAGTTACTGCAACACTTAGCATCTTCAAGGATCTGCAGTTGTTGCACCTCTACTTCGCTTCTTGCTTTTAAGTATATATTATCTTGTGGTGAAGGCATGTTAATGCTGGCATGATAAGCAATATGAAGAAGTGTTGTATCAAGTGAAGTTGCTTGCTCCCAGAATAAAGTATATTGTGCTGCTTCATTGTACTGATAATCAATCACTTCTGGAATCAGAAGGAATAATTTAATTGTTTAAAAGTGTATTGAATTCACCAGCACTGTTGAACTAGTGCCCCAATAAAATACCTCATGCATATTCTGTAGACCATGACTTAGTAGTGGCTATTGTAAAGAACTTAACTCCTGGGAGCAACCTTTTATATGCTTGTAGTAATTAAGCTTTATTATACTGTAGCATGTAATGTGCACTGTGTCTTTTGCCTTGTATTCTTTTTAGTGTCTTACTGACTTTTTCTGTGTAGAGTAATATGGATCTGAATTAATGTCAATGATAGAGCCCAGAAGAAAGAAGCAATACTTAAGAGTTACAATCAGTGTGAAGCTGGTATGCATGCAACTCCCACTGTGGGATTTGTGAACCTACCCTCACACTCCACTTCAAAACATACCCTGAAACAAAAAATATTGTCTCAAACTATTTTTGTAATTCTATAGTTATATGAATGACATGGCACATTTTGAAAGATCGTTGTGCTAATAGTAGTGCATTTCATCTGGGCATGGCATGAAACAATCAAGAAAAACAGCTGATTTTATTTAAAAATGTGGTAGCTATAGTCAGTAATACCACATAGTCTTGTTTTAGATGATGTATTAATAGTACATAAACAATATTAATCTTCCTGATTGCTAGATGATATTACTACTGTTTCAGTCTCATGGGGAATGGTACAGTACATCTACCACAAGGTTTAAAACAGAGTTGTTACAGCTTTTGTCATTTGTTTAGTCAAAATTTTACTGTTTGTGTTTCATTTAATTCAACAATTGATCTTTTCTTTTTTAGACAAGGATGATGGCAGTTACAAGGGTAGCCATAAATCTGAAAAAAAAATAACAGTGTTACTGAATCAAACAAGTTTCCGTGATGCAGGGAGGAACTGTTCAATTGATCACTGATAATGGGATTCATCTCACCTAACTTCGTCAATCTAAATGTTAGATGTCTAATGTCCTTTTTGTATTTATCCAGACTTAGTCTATGATTACAAGGGAAGAGAGAGACAGTTCTTGAAAGCAACTTCCATTCTAAGACAGATGAGATGAATCCCACCTTTAGGGCTGTCTAAAATATAACCATGAAAGTAAGAACAAACAAGAATAGTACATAACTGAGGCTGCCGACAAGGAAAATTCTTAAAAGAACACTTCCTGTGTATGTCTCTTTTGATTGACCTTTATCTTCCAGTTTTTAGTCTTCATATAGTGTTGCTAAAATGTTGTTACCCTTGCCTATTTTCTGTGCTGCACTTGCTGGGCATCTGCACATGCCTTTTTCAGCTCGGTTTTAAGACCTTTACTGCACCTCTTCCATCTTAATAAGATCGCTCTTTTTTTCTCAAAGAAGACCGACAGCTACACAAATCTGAGAGTCATCTACTGTATAAGTGCTATGTCTAGATTAAGAGTTCAAAGTTATATACATTTACTACTTCAGTGGTAATGGAAGCCTACTCAGTTTCAAACTGTGCAAAGCAAATTGTGAAGCCATGCCACTTAGCAAGTGGCCTACCAATAAATTCATACAGTGTAATGATGTTTTAGACTCTAAAGCTGATTGTTTTTTTCCATGTGGTTCACATAGAAGATAGCTGAATATTATAGAAAGCTACATGAAATATTTTTCATCTCCTACTGGAATTTTTATATACTGAAAATTTATTAAAAATAATGTTTTATATATTCTAATAACATTAAAACATAACAGTCATTAAACTTTCTAATGCTGTTTCAACCCAAGAAACATAATTTGGGTCCAACATGTATGATCCTTGAAAGCGGGAGAGAAATAAAAATTGCTGAACAGCAGAAATGAGTAAAAAATAAGTAGTTGGAGGGAATTAGTGTCAGTTCACAAATTGTCCTACAGTTCAAACCTCCAAATATCAGGCTCTCCATCAAATATCTTTAAGTTCAGCAAAACATGGAAGACCTGCAATTAGTAATCAAAACCTTAGCTCACTTTTAATGCTTTAAGGGAAGACGTAATATGGTATTCTGTATCTAGATCAATACACAGTGTTGTATTGTGCAGCTAATCATCCATGCACTGCCAAAAAGGTATTGAGCAATGCTCATATTTATAGTTTCAGGTGAACAAGAATGGATGAACAGATATTTACATGTATCTGTATTTTACTGAAGGTAGCATGTATACTTAAAACATCAGAAATATATAATCCACCAAGTGAGTTGATCAAAATTAACACAGTGTCAGATTTACTAACAGATATCTGTCCTCCACTGACATGAAAAAGTCATCATGTCCAATCTTAACTTTTCATTGAACAATCTATGTAGAGAGATCCATAAGCGTTCGTCTAGAATTTTTCTGACCACATTTGAATTTTTCATTTTTTTATAACTGTGCATATCAAATGTGCACTAATTCCCAATTGTGCTTCACCTGCTTATATTCCAGTCAGTCTGAGAACTCAGTTTCAACTGTATAGGTAATAGTGTTCCTGATTCTTTTCTGAGGTTTAAGTGTGCAATGTCAGGTTGGATGGGGCTTTGAGCAATCTATTCTAGTGACAAATATCCCTGACCATGACAAGGGGATTGGAACTAGATTATCTTTAAAGGTCTCTTCCAACCCAAACCACCTAGGTTTCATTCTATGATTGCTGAGAGTACAACTAAATTCAAGGGTGTTTTCTGCATTTTCGATGTGTGTGACATATCCATTGCTCTTAGATGAATGATCTTACATCTAGTCACCAAGTGAATCTTGTTTGACAAATGGACTAACTTTTGCTAGGTGTCTGTAAGTGTAACACAGAGATTTCCACACTGCATACTCTGTTCCATAAGTGGCTGACAAATTGTTGTGTTATCATAGAGTAAATGGAACTGGTTTCTCCTAAGTTTATGCTGGTAAAGTACATTCAATTCCCTTTAAACACATTGAATCATATTTAATTTACACATATTCAATTTACACGGCTGTAATTGCCATGTGTTCTAAATGTTCATGTGTGAAGGAGCAAGGAAGTCAAAAGAGTTTATTTTTCTTTTTCCTGTGACATGTGACCCCTGTCATTATAAGCTTTGTCTTGAAGAATGTATTTCTGGAACTGGAATTGTCAAGGAAATAATGACTAGAAGTTTTTTGAGCTTTCTATTGCTTGATTAGTTTCTGAGGTAGCCTAAACTAGAAATGTTACAAAATTACAAAATTTGATCAAGATTTTAGAAGCTTTTAAATGTTTGACGTTCCTTGCTTGATTTCATGAGCTGATTTAAGAGATTAAAAAATCAAATTATATTTTAAGATAAAAACATATATTTGGAAAAACCAAGGATGTAATTTTCAACAGCATTTTTTTCAATGTGTGGCACAATGCATATGGATTAGCTGTATATATTGATATTAAACATAATGAGTTTCTGTCCTATTTTCCCTTTTCCTACGTCTTCCTATATCTGCAAAACTCCCCAGCCTTGGATATACATAAAAATGAGACATTAGCTGAAACTTTTTCTCTTAAAACTCCAATTTACTTTGCCATGTACTTATCTTCTCAACTGTGGGGACATATATATGCATATTTTCATAGACTGCTTAGACAGATACACGCATCTCTAAATAACTGATGGATGCATTGTTCTTGGTATGCTCATAAACCTGTTTTATTTTTCTCTATCCTCTTTTTTCCCTATATTCTCTTCTTTCATTTCCCTTGCTGTACATACTAGAGTGAGTGCTTATCAAAGCATAACTTTAGCTAATGACACTAAAGGTCTCACAAGAAATAATTCAATTTGTGCTTTAATAAGCAGCATATTTAATAAATCCATATAGACTCAGTAGAAATTGGTCATGATTTTGCTCTGGTTAGATTTCAGTGTGTACATAAACCCAAAACTTTATCAGCCTTTGCTGTAATTCTTTGCCAATAGCAGTGATGGGGCAAATTAGCTTTTATTCCCAGCTGCAGTTTTTTTTTGCTGGGATTATACTGCATTAACTGTGATCACATCTATATTTTGTGGCTATAAATACATGATATTTGTGAACATAAGTTTATGTGAATGAGATATAAGATTTGACAAAAATAAAGTCTATACACTGACCCAAAAATACAAAAATCACACTCACAATATATTACATCCTAAATGACGACAGTTACTTCTTATTTCAGTATAAGTTCACTGCCTCTTAAAAGAACTGCTTCATTTTCTTATTCCTTTGTCAAATCTTGAGTTCATTGAGGTGAAGTGAATATTTACATATCTAGTTGTTACCTCAGCTTAGGAAATTCAGGTTGTTGAGCTTTTGGTAGGATTTTTTACTGTTTCAAGTATGGTTTATCTCACCAAGAATGGGATGAGGAAAAAAAAAAAAGGTGGGTCTATGTAAAGGAATGTATTCATCTGTTTTCACTGAAAAGCTGTAATACTTCTGTGATTAAGGGCAAAGAATGAAATAAGGGCAAGAAAAGTATTTGTCTGACAGAGCAGTATCCATTTGTACCTAAGAAAAATAGCCAACCCTAACCATATTAGAAGTCTGGGTATTTTAGAAGGAGCAATATAGTAGAAATAAATGAGACTAGCATCTGTATAAGATTTTTAAGTTTAACAGCTAAATTTTCAGCATAATGACAGATTAAGGACTAGCAGACAGGGAAGAAGAGAGGTGGAGACTGAAACTTGGGCGCAGTTATAGACATGATAGTTTTGACAGAAAGACTCTGGAGAGTTAGTAGCAGAAAGATTCTCTCCTGATTCTTTAGAAGTGACGTATCTAGACTCACTTAGGCTCACAGGCTCAAGATAGGCCTTTCTCAACTTTTTTGTGTAAGTGTGCTGGTAAAGTGCATGTCTCATCTCCCTTAGTGATGGTCTGTTAAGGTATCTATGGTACAGCTACTAAGTGCTTTGTTGGCTCAAGCGACAAAAGTTTGTGCAGGGAATCTAAATTTTCCAACCTGTTTGTGACTTGAGTGACTGGTTTCACATGAAGAAATCCTTGTGGGGTTGTTTGGATTTTTTTGCTGTCTGTTTTATTCCATTTTAAAACCTGCATTAGGTAAATGTCTTCATTGCAAGCATAAGCATTAAGCCTGATACACTAACGAAAGAAATACCAGATGTGAAGTTTAGCTGTGCAACTTTAATTCATCCCATTTATCTACGTGCATAATGTAGGCATTATTTACACCATCACATTTCGTTTTTTGCAATACTACTGAAGTGTGCTGTGGAGATGAACCTGCTTTCTGTGGTGATGACTTCCATTTTCTGTAGTTCTCATCTCCTTTTTGTTGCAAAGCTTGAAACTGTGAATGAAGGAAAAGGAGGGATATCTGGGTAAATGCTTTCTTTGAGATTTAATTTCTGTTGCAGCCTCTGCCACAGAATGTCTGTGTGAGAGTGAGCTAATAATTTAAACCAAACCTTTTACAGATGACCTCTGATTAAGTGTTTTATTATTTTGGGAACCAGAGGTTGGGCTTTTGGAAATGCTGAGCATTCTTACAGCAAGAGTCCCTAGAAGGTTTATATGGAGATATGCAATGCTAAATACTTAGAAAAAATGGCCTGTAGGTATCCCAAATTAATAGCTACTGTATCTCATAATGACTTAATCTCTCATCTGTAAAATGAGATAATACTATATCTTCATTCTTCTTGTAAAATAAGTCATGTATTTGTGAATCTTTTGCATGCTATAGCAATGAATGCTGCAGAAAAACACAGAAGAAAAATATGATGCTGATTTTAAAAATAAACTACATGAAGCCATGCCTGGAGCAATGGCAGTAAAATGACCATTGAATGAAGTTCCAGATTGTGAGAAAAAAAGTAGTTTTGTGGCTATTCAATTAAGAATTGTCTCATAACATCTACATAATGGGAGCTGAGTTATGGTTGCATGACCAACCTTTTAATTCTTAACTCATGAGCACTTTATTTTGCAGCCTGCATATTCTTTTTGTAGGGCCTTGTGGGCATGTGTAATCACACAAAACAATGTGCTCATTATAAAGCTTTCAGGTGTATTTTTTTTCACACTAAATTATTACTAATGGATAGATAATAAATAACAACTTGAATAAGAGATCTGCTGAGACCCGTTTTCCCTCCTAAAAATAACATGAAAGATTCTTGGTCTTCAGGTTTTTTGTAACATATGTCTGTTCAGAAATGTGCTTTATTTATTTTTGCATATATATACACACACATATATATATATATGTATACTTACAAAAAATATTTTTTTTGCTAAATCCACAAGCGTTTAAATTGCTGGTAATCTTTGTTTACTGTGAAGTGCATATATATGCCATTACTACATTTTAACTTATAAAGGCTAGGCTTTAATAAAAGACAAAAAAGAGAGGACTTTTGACAAGCTTTATTAAGCTGCAAGTAAAATTTTAGTTGTATCGCACATTAATGAAACTTACTGGAGAATATATTTACATCTGTCTCTACCTGTATGTTCATATTTACCTTGGTACTTTGCAAATTTCCTTTATCTAAAATCTAGTGTTAAATTATTATGAAAATAAAAAAAAAAAAATTGTAGAGAGACGTGAAGTACCTCACTTCTTGATAGCAGTTAATAATTTTCTTCATCAAATTTAGCTGAGGCTATTCTGTCAGTGTGGTTGGGTTATTTTTGTTCTTCCATGGCTGCATAGCAGTGTTTTAAAAATTTTCTGTTCATTTTATGTTTTTTCAGCTGTCGTGACTGGTTGTCTTGTACCATTCCCCTTAAGTGTATGTGTGTATTTATTATTTTAAAAATTAACATTATATGTCTAGATAGGGGTCCCATTAACATTCTATTTTGGTAGAAATTGGCAAAAATTTGCATATAAGGGTTTAGCTTCATAAATGGTACTTTGTATTGTTATTGAGTGATGGTTGCTGGTTCTTCCCTTTTCACCATATTGTGAATTTTTCATCACTTTGCATGATATTTCAAGAAAGCTGAAATGCTCAGCTTAATACATCACATTTCTGAGAGGCTTTGTTATTTTATATAGTCTGTATTTAATGCAGAAACATAAGAAAACATGTAAACACTTAAATGATGTGATTATAGGCAGAGGCATGTGACTGTCTCAAACTTAAGTGTTTGTAAAAAGCATGTGAAACTGTTATTTGATTGGAAATTACAAGGAAGAATGGCTTAAAATTTCCTTGCAGCCTTTCCTAACTAGTGGGTCCCCTATAACAGAACCAAATAAAGCTGTTTTGGAACATTCAGTTAAAAGTAATTTAACTTATGTTTTTTTTTTTTTCTCATTTCATTGAGCAGTATATTAATCAATCCTGGAAACCATGTCAAGATTCAAGAAGGTACTTTAGGATTTTTCATTGCAAGTGATGCCAAAGAAGTAAAAAGGTAATTCACATATTTTTATCTTTAAATTTAAGCATATAACATTTAATTTCTTTTTTTTTCTTCACATGTAAACAGCTCACCTAATTTTCCTTATTATCTGTTTAAAGATTCTCAGGGGAAATTGAGTTGGTACTCTAGTGACCCAACCATGTGTGTGTACCATTTTCTTAACTACAGTCCTAAATATCAAGAAAATGAAATAATTTTACAGCAGATGTGAAAAGAAGAGGATTTTCTTCTAAGTCATAGTAGAAAATGTAAAATATTTTGATCTGATTTCTCAATAATTAGGATTACAGTTTTGTCCGAGTTTCAGGTTTAGAGTAATTCTTATTTACGTAGACTTTAGCAAATATTTGATGTGAGTAAGCTACTGTAGTCATTCAGTAATTGCATTAGCAGAATAATATTTATGTTCTTTTCGTTCTTCTTTACTGGAACTACATACTCTATGGCTTCACAATAATAGATCAAACTACAGCAGTGCAGTATATCGTAACCATTGTAGACAACTTCATGGGTTCGTTGTACTTGGCTGTATTAGATTTGGGTTGAATGAAAAGGGGGTTTATGGTATTGCATTTAGGACCAAACATGTGTACTCTTGTTTGTTAGGATTATAATATGCTTGGAAGGTATAAAAGAGCAATGTGTGAAAATAATTTTTAAAATAAATAATTTTTATGATTAAATTACAGTGAAAATAATATTTATGCAATGCATGTTTGCCACCAATATTTAAAGCGAGTCAAAACATAAAACCAGTGAAATCCCCGAGACCTTGAAATCTGTTTTCGTTGAAAGAGCTATGATAGTTTTTGGCTAGGTGAAGCATTCAGAACAGTGCAGCAGCGCTCCTGTCCTCTCATATTTCTAGCACCATCTTTGGAGTATTTGCTTCCAGCACTGCCTCAGGTATGCTGTCTTTCAGTGTATAGTTCTTCTCCTGCCTGGTGCTTCTCTCCAGTTGAATATACAGAACTATCTTCACATTCCTTTACTGAGGTGCTAGCTTTTTTTCGTTTGTAAGGCATGTTACACTCTCGTATGAAATTATTTCAGACTGTAAGTAAAAATCACCTGGCATAGGATTTTTAACAGGGAGAAGTTGACTCTTATTAATGTGTTTAGAGAAATTTTACACATCATTCATCTAGCATGTTTTATCTAGTAGCAAGCTGAAACAAATTTCGCAATTCTGTCTTGCTTTTTGCAGAAGGCTTTATTTAGAACCATACTATCCCTGCCTTACCACATTTCTTAGCTGTTCTGTGCAAAGCAAATGATTATCAGATGTGTTTCAACTAACAAAGCCAATGTAAAATGTTGATTTCACCCTTTTAAGCTATGAATCAGTGTCAGAAAAATATTCTAAGATTGAGGTCTTTTGGAGAGGAGAATTTTTTTATTATTATTATATTATATATTATATATTACATTATATACCTGAAATTCAGATTAAATTTTTCTAGTTTTATGTTGCATGCTAATTAATTTGTGCTCCTTTAAGCAAAAGCTATTCATATTAAAGCTATTCATATTTATCAAATATATATTCCACAAAGAAATATAACATGTAATGTTCAATTAGTCTTCTTGCTAGAATTACTTTTGCATTTTTAGAACAATAGTTTCACATTAGAAACAATTATACCTAGGAACAATTATGCTTAGGTAAATACCTTCATTAAAATATTGAGTGTTTTAATATAATGCAAACTATGTGAATTGCATCTTTATTATTCTTTATTCATTTACATGTTAACATCAGAAATCATATGCTTCAAATCCACTTAATTCAACCCAATTATATGGAAGAATAGTTTTATTACAGGAAACACTTCAGGTGTTTGCTCTTGACTTTGCATATAGGATTGAAGGTACTCTATAGGATGGCTGTCCTGCAGTGGGCTTTAGAAACATGATCTGTAGAAATGACCTATGTCCAATTCATGTCATGAAGTTTTGTGAGGAAATGTTTGTGATAGTGGCTTCTATTTAAATACAGGGGCTTATGGCTGGATTGGGGAGAAATTGTAAAAATTGGAGGCAGTTTTCTCCTTGCTTATGTCTTGACTCAAGGATTGAAAAATACTTTATTCTCATCTCCTTGGAGGCAGTTTGTTTTCTTTTTGGCGGAAGGTGAATATTTTGAAGACCAGAAGCTTTCTGCAGCAAAGTATACAAATGCTCAAAGAAGGCTTTTTCAGTTTACATTTTGCTTCTTGGAAATAGTAAGACAATTTCACAGTCTGAAAGAGTAAACATCCTGGAAGTTTCTTAAAGATATTAAATCTGCTACATTTAGGACTTACATCTTCCATCAGTAGCTTGCATGCTATCTTGATCTTAGAAATTTTAATAACATTTAATTACTACAAATTTAAATTTGTATTCTCTAGTCCATATCTCATATTCTAGACCTGCTACCTTTCTTCTGATGGGCCACTGAACTACCAGCGCCATTATTCAGAGGTGTAAAATAACTTAGACAGATGCATAACTATTTGAATTGAGTATCTAGTTCATATTTCTGAACAATTCCTTTAATATAGTTCCACCTGTGGTGGAAACTGTCTAATTAAGCTGAAAAGAATTGATTGTGATCATCCTAGCTGAACTGCCAAAGGCTATGCTTATTCAGAGGCTGTGTATTAATATTGTTTATTTTTCTTTTTATATTTTGGACTGTAGATTGTTCTGTTCCAGTGACCTCCCTACTGTTGTAGCAATCCAACCATCCTAAATCTATGAACAGTACTGTCGACAAAATCCATGGGTGGTTGCAAAACAGCAGCTTTGGTTCTTTCTGCCAATTTGTATTGAGGAGTATGAAATGAGAAGGGTTTGGGAAGATAGGCATGGAGCTGACATATCCTGAATATGGATAAGTACAGGGAAATTCAGCAGGTTAAAAGTGTGTTTAATTTGTGATACCAGCAAAAATCCTGGTAAACTGTAACTGTCCAGTGAGAGGCCAACTGCATGATCCTCATGAAATGTGTCACAGCAGCCTTACATGACATGCTGACTTGACACGCATGATTAAACTCTCCTGTGGGCAGTCTGATGCATATTTATTAAACTGGATTTTTTTTTCAATCTTATATAAAGTTAAATGTTTACCCTTTCTCAATTCTTTAGTTCTCCTGCTTCACCTAGTGGTGAGCCATTTGATGCAGGAATAGAAGTTTATAAGTAAAAATATTAAATGGAAACCTAGATGGTTCACCTTGTTAATTGCGTATTTTTGTTTGAAATTTTGGCTTTTGTCTGTTCAAAAACAAAATGGTTCTGCTTTATTCAGATATGGAGGACCAAAAAAAAAGAGTCTGAATCAAGATTATTTCAGTTCTTTCACTTATATGTTCCTTTAGGAATTTATTTTGAGTGGATTTTCCCTTTCTGGTTTTGTTTGGGTTTTTTTTTGTAAATGGCGTATCTGATGTTACTGTCGCATTGATCTCAGTGCAGTCTCTCATTATATCCAAAATGATGTCCTACTTGTGACTAGGCTGAAAGATTGGCCCAGAGTGCTAGACGGTCTTTAAAAACAATATATATATAAGAACAGAGAATTCGTTATAGATATGTTTTAATGACAAATTCATTAGATGCTCTTTTTTCTAAGATAAAAAATAAGTGAACTGATATACCATGTCATAATTATCATCCTTTCCCCCAATTACTTTTGAAATAAAAGTATATTAAAAGAAACACTAATTTGGAATGTTCAAAACTTATGTTTGACATTAATGGTCTTGCAGCAAATATTTCCTACTTTAAGTGTCCAAACCTGTTCAAAGATTAAAGGAAATTAGTGCTGGCATGTTTCATTAATTTGACACTGCAACGAGAGGAAATGTAGGATTAATTTCATTTATATAGCTTAAGAAATGTGTCAGTTTTTCCATTCTGTCTCTCTAGGGCATTTTTTTACTGCAAGGCCTGTCATGATGACATCACAGATCCCAAAAGGATAAAAAAATGTGGCTGCAAACGGCGTAAGTAATATTTCTATCATTCCCTTCCTCTCCTTTTCATGAACTGTTCAGCCTTGTACATGCGTTTAAATGTTACACAGTAGTACTGAAAAGCTAAGAAATAAACGCCCAGCAACATAGTAAGTGTCATTTGCGTTTCTGAAGTCCGTTTATTTTTATTACATTTTGCACCACTCACACCTGTTTCTTCATTAAAAAGTTCATTAGGGTCCAAAATTAACAAAACCTGAAGAATTAAATCAAGCTAGATCCAATTGTGGAAGTCTCTGAGTTAAGAGTGAACTAACAGTGAAATTCTGCTCTCATTCATACCATGCAGAAATCCAGTAATTTCAATAGTTTTCTGTTAAGTAAAGAACTTTCGTCTATCTTGCCGAGCATGACTCTGTAAAAGAAGAAACTAGGGAATAATATTCCATCATATAATTATTGAAGTAAATTGTTATGGAAATAAACAATGAGTTTTACTGTGTCTGGAATACATTAAATATTGGTGCCTCTTACATATATCCTTTTAGAAGATTCCATAGCTGTAATGCTGATATTTGGTTAGTTTAGTTCTTAGGTCTGATCTTTAAATTGTTTGGAAAATTTTGCATGAAGAAATGATTGAGTTTTGGAATTGAGATCAGACTTTGCACTTGTATTTTTATAAACATAGAGAAATTAGCATTTTGTCTATATATACTTTGAAAGGACTTTTTGCAGGAACTATGACAAGCACGTTTTGGCCAAAGATGTGTTTGGTCCATGCATATTTGTAATACTGATATCAAAAGGATTTGGGGATCCATTCCTCAATGGATATCTGAATATATTTATGTGGATTCCATGGTATTCTGCCATGAAAAAGACCATTCAGTGCAAAAGTACTGATTAGGTAAACTGAAAGATCTCAGATGAGTTTGATCATGTCTATTTCACCATTACTTTTAAAAGGGAAAAAAACTTGTAGGTCCAGTCATAGTGTTACCACTGCACTGTCTTAGAGGATGGAAGAAAGCCTAAACTGGACATTCTCTGCCTTTAAGGGGTGCCTGAAATTTATGAGTTCTTGAAGAAGATTTTAAAAAGAAAAAAAAAAAAATCACTGGAGTTTTTGAAGAAACTCCTCTCCCTCAGAAAACAGGAGTGTGGCACAAAGTAGTAGAATTGAGAGAAAGCAGATGAAACACTGACAGAAGATGGTATTTACCCTCCCAGTAGCCACAAGGAGGGCAAAGCACATGGAATGCGTGTCTGATGTGGAAGGAATGTTAGCATTGCCTAACATATTGGAAAAAAATTGTTCAAGAACAGTTTATCCATGTGAGAATGTGACCTTTGAACTGCTGCCAAAGCCAATGAGGCTGCTGAGTAAGTTCTGGTAAAGCCAGTTACAGATGCCTCGAGGTGCCTGTAACTCTGGAACCCAATCTTTTTTCCAAATTACCCAACAGTAAAAGAGAAATATGTTACCTGTTTAATTTTATCTGATTCTGTCAAAAAAGACCTTTTTTATTTGTGTTTTCTTCTCTACTCCTCTTCCACGTAGTGTATGCTTTTTACACATGTGCTGATGAAAAAAAAATAGTTCCCAAAGATCTGTCATTTTAATGTAAGATCTACGCTTTTCATTGAAATCTGCTAGAAGATAGAAATTGGGAAATCACAGCATAAAGGGCAAGAGCCCTTTAGTGTACCTTAATGAAAATCAACATAGCAGGTTCCTAAGTTCTAGGAAACTAGGGAGAAAACAGAGTATCCTGTGACCCAGCCAACCCAATGAATGTATTAGCAGCAGTAGGGCCATGGAGAGGTCAGAGTGACAACTTCTGTGTGTAGTACTAGAAATGTTGGAAATGGCATGGTCACACATATCAGTCTGGTAAATAAAAGGATGTTGGACAGATCAAGAAACAAAACGATGGAGTTAGTGAGGCAGAAGGAGGAGGTGACTATCAGAGCTGCTGCAGTGAGCACTGAACAATGAGGGAATCCTCTGAGTCAAGTAAAAAAAAAAAAAGTCGTCAGTAAGAGTAAAATCTTCAATTTCCCTGTCATTGTCTCCCCTCTCCCTCTCCCTGCTCCTTTCCTGCATACCCACATATGGTTACAGATACCATGATAGCTGGCAGATCTCAGTACACCTAAGAACAGCTTCCACTTAGAAGCATGCTCACAACTATTAGGAATAATACAATTGCTTTGCTTTTAAAGTTCTGTCAATCAGAAAAAAAAGAAGAAAAATTTCAACAGTAATTAGTGATTTTTGGTCTCTCAAATTTTGATGACAATCTTGAGATCCCTTTTATGGGACCTGATTTTTTTTTTTTTTTTTTAAAGGTAAGTCTTTTGCACAGTCTATTATTCACATAAAATGTCTTATCTTTAGCTTTCAAATCACTAATCACTTTTGAAAAATCTTAACTGTGTTATCCATCTGTAAACTACACAAAGCATTGGTCTTAAAAATGCGGTCTAACCAAAACAAAGCGTAAATTAAGAAAACTCCCTGTTGAATTAGGAAACTGTCAACTGATCTGTCAACAGCTAATATGTCAATTTGGTTTTCAAAGACACTGCAAATAGTCACACATGCGTATATGTAGTCCTATATTATAAATATATATTTTAATTAGTGAGTAATATAGCGATTAGAGGCAACTGAATGTGGAAAATGTGTAAGATGAAATGAAAGGCTGAATGTAAAATGTTGACTTATTCAGGTGAATTAAATGTGAAAAAATATCTTTACATGGAAACTTAATTATGGTGGCATTAATTAATGCAGCTTCCTGTGACACTGGAAAACCACATTCTTTAATAATGCATCTAGGGTTGCACATCAATTTGGATACGGTCTGAACATTAGCTTGTGGTATTGTTGGGGTCTAAACGTGAGTCTGACCTACATAGCCATTTGTCCAAACTTGTTAGGCCTAATATTAATAATTCAGGGCAGATCAGTACTTTTCCACAAGATCAGGGATAATTAAAGTAACCTCGCTTCCTTTCGCAGTTTCTTTGCCATCCCTTTCTCCTTACCCATCCCACTCCCTGAATACATATGAATGCTGATGTCACATTGTCCAGAGAAATGCTTGTGTGGAAATTTTATTCACAGATTGTTTATATTTTTTTAAATGTTTTCAATCTCTTTCCTATTCCATTTAAATGTAGTTTTTTCAGCAAGAGGCCAAATACATGTGTATATTTATATAAAATGCAGCCACGTTGGAATGAAATCTCTAAACTGGATGACCTACTCCTCCTGTTTCTTTCATTTTGTGCAACAGCTATGGTCTAATTCTCTATATATTTTTTCCAGTGACAGTGCTTGCTGTGAACGGTGGGGGTTGAACCCCAGAGGGGACATATCATGTGTACGTTGATGTGTTTGAAGGAATTTCTTGTAATCTATGACAATTGACAAACTTTTGATTTATTTTTCCTCTTGCTGCCTTGGAACACGGCCCCTACTATATTTTAACTGCACACTGATAGTGATCTATTGTGAGTAAAAATGGGTTCCCTGTAGCCCAGAGTGCGGTCCAACCTGTCTTTCTCTAGCAGAGAGTATTTTTGTTCAGTATTTTGGTTCTTTTCTTTATTTATGTTGCATGTAGCAGTGACGTCATACCCACAAGTTTCTCATCGTTTACACCCATGGAGATTAGGGTGACGTTGAAGAAAATACAGCAGTTTTTCCCTCTCCTACATTTTTTGCCCCTTTTTTTTCCACAACCTTATCTTTTATTCCTATTTGAAAATGAGATCTTGGCAATAGTATTTCCTTCAAGTGATTCCAGAGATATCTCATGAATTTTTAGGGACATTGGTTAGGCTGGGGTAATTACCACTATAGCACTGTTTGCCTGGTTAAGTGCAATTCATTGTCAGACGCATGCTCAATTTCTTTGTACTTTGTCTTTTCCATTTCGTAGCTGACACAAAGAGCAACACAGCAGTCTTTTACTGTCCTTATCTAACTCTTTTTTTTCCCATCAGCCAAAAAAAAGAAAAAAAGGAGATGGGGGGAAAGCCAGACAATGAATTAAATATGTGGCTAACAATGTAAAAACCTACAGATATCTTCAACAGGAAACAAGCTACAGTGATTATTTTCCCCAGCTTGCTTGTTTTGAAATAAATTACATGAGTAGAGGTACACTGACTTTTCAGGACCTAAGCTGAGAAATTTTATATTATTATTATTATATATCGAATATGAACTTTATAGACCACTTCATTTCAATCAAAGTCATACTACTTTGAAGTGTACAAAATCTATGAAGGCTCTTGACAGCCACTCTTAGTGTGTACAGTCATGATAGTTTAAGTAAACACAGTATTTGGGACATAGAAAGAATATGCTGCTTGGAAATGCAAGCATTGCAAAGAAATGTACTGGTTATAAAGCAGAGTTGGGATTACATTGGCTTGTTCTCTCGAACAGCAAGAGGGATCAAATATTTCATAGCTGCAATGAGGCATTACTGTACCAGATTGAGGCATCTAATCATAACATAGAACTGCAGCTATTCTAAATAAGTGAGGCTATGAAAGTTTTTCAACATTTCACCAGATACTTTAAATTTATTGTGTGTTAACACTTCAGGTGTTAATCAGGACTGAGATATTTTTTCCCCTCTTGGTTGTACACACCATAGCATCTTGCAAAGAATCAAGGAAGAGTTGGCGCTCCTGGAGTTGCATGATAAAGTGCTAGCCATCTTGGAATTGTGATGGCCTTCATTATGATTATGATTTTCTACTATTTATCTCATTGTGATGCCTGCAAGCTACATTAAGGGATTGAGATCCTGTTGTGGTAGAAAGCATTCAAATAGAGATCAGAAATTTCTCCAAAGATCTATTTTCAGCCAATAGAATGACAGAGCAGAAAGATGGGGCATACAGAAAAGCAAATTGTGAAACAGGTCAGCATGATAAGAATCAATAATAAACCAGAAAGAAACTAATTTCTATGGATAAAATGATGAATCCTATTGACTTTGAGGAAAAATCTGAAGCAATGTATTTAATTAAAATATGTTTATATGTTGAGGTCTTTCTGGACCAGAGAAATTTGTTTCAATAGTAATAAATAAACAAATAAAAGAGCTCTTCATGCTAAGAGAGTATTAAAAAAGAAGAGGTCATGTTTTTTCGACTTGTTTTTTTTTTTTTTTCCATTTCCCCAGTAGCTTCAGTGCATTCAGAAATTCAGTTAGCTTTGAGAGTACACTGGCTGAGAGTCTTCTTTAAGGTAATGAAGGAAAGGTCATAATCAGATTTGAAAATTAAAATGAATTGGTCTATAAATGTGCCATTATTTCAGAACCTGTGAGTTATTCTTGTAGCTACTAAAATAGGACAAAATGTCCACTCAGGTCACCTGCTGTTTCTACAGTTTTGACAAAGAACAGCACCATATGAATTGTAGTGAACAACTAACCAATTCCCTTTGATTGCAAAAATTGCAAAGATAGAGAACAAGCTGACTTGATGGTCTTGAAGTTGTTCTGTAAAAATTAAATAATGAAGAGATAGCTTTGCCTGTTGTGTTAAGAGAAAATAAACAAACAGTTTAAGATATACTGCTGTATTTTTCAGGAAACTGAAATTGTGCTGGAGGAAGTCCTTTCAATATTTCAGTCTCATGATGCTATAACCAGCATTGCTAAATGACGATCAAATCAACCCGGTCGTCCTTTAATGCTGCCGTTATTTTACTCATAGTGTGGATCATGAGAACTTGATGAATTGAAATGACACCGTATGCATTTCAATTCTTAAGTGTAGTGAGACCTTTTTTTACCATTTGCCGGTCAAGAAACCTCCAGTTCATCTTAACCAGCTGTTATCTCATAGAGACCCACTAGATGTCCTCGTAGACCACTTTTTGTTACAGTGGCAGTCACAAGGAAAACTGCTTGTAGTCATGGGTGGAACACGAGGACTCGGTAGACTGTATGGTTTTAAAAAAATATAGAAAATAAAAAAAAATCTGCAAAGATGAAGGGATACTTTGTTCTACTTGCTTAAAAAAAAAAAAAAAAGGAGCTGTTCCTTGACATCTTAGATAGAGAATAATCTGCAGTTTCCTTTGCTTATTTTTGCAGCTGAGAATATTTCCCATTACTGTTTGTGAACTCTAAGTAACATCTCAGATCCAGACAATCTAGAAGTTTTAACGGGACTTTTTTGGGTTTTGAGATAAAAAAGCAAGGTACTGCTAGAAGCTTAGACATCTAAGGCACATTCCTTCCTTATCGCAATAGAAAGCTATTGCCTTTTGAGAAAAATTGCAACAAAAAAAGTTTTTGAAAGTATTTATTTACTTTATAAATAATTGACAGAAATTTTGCTTTCCTTTTTCTCTTAGTAAATCAGAAAATGACTAGTTCACATATGCCTTGTTTTGCAGTAAATTATTTAAGTAGTCTGATTTCCATGTCCCTGATATTTTTGCTAATTCATTTTAAAAATACTGTGGGATTGTCATCATACTAAGTAGAAGGATCTGTTCTTCCTTTTTGTCTATTTATTATTCAATTGAAAATAGGGAAGTAATTTCCTTTATATCCCAACTTAAATTTTCACTACTTGCAAATAACAGTTCTATTCAACATCCATAACATTTCTATTAATAGAAATGAGTTGATTCTTATGCAGGTGCCAAAGGTGTCAAATGAATTTAACACCCACCCAGAGGCTGTTCTTAAGGTCCCCCTGTCTCTCTGATGATTCCCATTTTTTGTTAATGTTTATGGAAGTTTTATAGGAAATGGTATGTGTGTGGCTGAACCATTTAAAATCATTTCTGTCTTGTCTTTGATCTTGTCACTGGCCATCTCTACTAATAATCCATATTTTGTTTTATTGAAAAGAAAATAATTATTGTATTTGGTATGAATGTAACAATGACTGTATAAAAGGAATGAAGAGTAACAAGCATGTTTTATTTTTGAAATGTATTGCTCTGATATGCAGTTGCTTATATACTGGTTGAAACCCTTATAGCAAGTCCTTTCTGCTAATTGTATTTTCAGGTCCAAGCCTGTTTCCTGCATGTTAATGATGTGAAATATTAAAATGATGCATGATCTCCAGAACAATTGATAATAGTAGTTAAAAACAGTCCCTGAAAGGGTATTGCTTTTGAGAAGCGCCGTGGAGTCCTTCCTCTATTGAACAGAAGGGCTTAAATTTCCCACTTCATTGGTTTAAGTCTAATGAAAATGGTACAAAAAGTTTTCCTTCCCAAACCTCTTTGCCCTTAAGGATGATTTCTTTTAATTTCCATAAATGTGTCCTATCTTATTATTGACTGTTGACAAGATATGGCTACAAGTAAATGAAAACCAGGGACTGTTACTAACCAATGACATAGCAGTTGAGAATTTCTGAGCGATGTGTTTTGCTACAGCATTTGATTAGAAAAAGTCCTTCAAAACAGCTATAATTAAAACAAAATGGGCCTGCCTTTTACCTCACCTACTGTTAGTGTGTCTCACAAATGCCCCTTATTTTTCTTTCATTTCCTTGAAGTGAAAATAATAAACTAGGCACAATGGAAAGACTTCCACATTTTTGGTAACATATTTCACTTCTCTTTTTCTGCCCAACTTTTCAATTTTAAAGAATGTGTTGGGAAGAGTTAGACAGAGGGAAACCATGGGAAAACAAACGCTGTTTTGAATTTTCTGTGTAGTTTGAATGTGTGTGCATCAAAAGCTGCAGTGGTAACCTTCTTACTAAAAGCCAAGCTCTGAGGAATGATGTACCGTGCAATGAACAAGCCTGATGCTGCATGATGACTTTCTGAACAGCTGTAAGATAACTCTACTAGGATGCTAAAAGAACATGGCATTAGTCATGTGAGCAAAGTTTTAGAGGAATGGAGTCGCTGCTGAAGAGATCACTCATTCATCTCCCTCAATGCCTGTTTTCCACAATCATAATGTTACCCTTGCTTGACAAGTATACTGTATGGCAAGTCATCAAGGCCTTAGAACAGGACTTGACCCATTTGAGCGATTTCAATCCCTCTTCCCTGGTGACTGTGGCATTAAAAAACTGGGAAAAAAAAGAAAAAAAAGAAAAAAAAGAAATTATTTTAAATTTAATGTCATCACCATAAGGCAAAAAAGACATCCTAAACTGAAGGTACAGGCCAGAGAAACATTACCTTTTTTCTGCATTTGCTTTCAAGGTTTTGTTTTTGCCTGTCAGTGTTCTGTTTTGTTTTTAGTATAATTGAGTCAGTTCAATCTAAACCATTACCAAAAGTGTTGGTTCAGTGCAACATGTGAAACAATCTAAGTGGCCTTTGCATTGCTTCAGACTTAAACATATCTGCGATTCAGGTAACATACTAAATTGCACGATAGTAATTACACATGCATTTGTAAAATCAGATGCTGTAGTTTTCTAGAAATATATAACAAAGACATTTGGATGACTGAAGGATATAAACATTCTGTTCTAATCTGGCACTCCTTTTGGAATTAGCCTCTAATTCTACAATCAGTTATTTGGTTCTTGATCTGCCTTTGAATCTAGAGCAGAAAACGTGCCAATGATTGGTTCAGCATGTTTCAAAGGACCAAGGCTCTGTGTGCTTTTGGTGATGCCTTATTTGTGAACTGATTTTAATGTCAAGCATATTTATCATTATTAGTTGTGTCTTTTATATGGGCAAATTTTGGTATTGTCAAGAGTTAATTTGAATTCCTGAAGATACAATGTAAACGAAGTAAATTTTTCAGAAAATTTTATTAACATCTTGTAACTCTTTAGTAATGTGTAATTTGTTGCAATAAAGGAGTTCCCTGGCACAGTTTAATACAGAGAAATGATTAGCATATGTTTAAGTATATTTATATATGTATATATATGTATTTGTATAATGTATACGTGTGTGTGTATGTAAGAATATACGTGTATGTGTGGTTTTGTGTGTGTATACATACATATATATAGATATATGTCTTCGATTTTTACAGGAAGCAGGATAGGCCAAAAATATCTAAAGGATTAACAACTTTAGATATTTCGTTTTAGCCCAGCAGTATTAATTGTGCCATGGGAAAAATATATTCTTAGGATTCTTTGCTTTTACTGTTCTTACACTTGACTGTAAACAGTGATTCTTCCCCATGTCTGCGGTCACCCTATAAGACTGAACAGAAATAAAAAGCAATTTATCTTTTGCCCTACTTTTAATGTACAGCCAAAGTGTTATCAATAATCTTATTGCATTTTTTTTCCCCTGGGTCAAGACTGTTAACATAAACTAAGGCCTGTATTAAATCCCTTAAATTACCTTCCAGCTGCCTTGTTATATATATAACCTTGCCATTAACCTGCTGCTCTTCCTCTCCTCCCATCCAACACATGGTTATAGCCAAGATGTCCATCTACAAGAGAATGAAACTGGCATGTTGTTTTGATTGCGGACGCTCTGAGCGTGACTGCTCTTGCATGTCAGGCAGTGTACATAGTAACATGGACACCCTTGAGAGAGCCTTCCCACTTTCTTCTGTCTCTGTTAATGATTGCTCCACCAGTTTACGTGCCTGTAAGTTTTAACGCCAACACATGCTGTTCCATGTCTGTGGTGTCTGTGGTATCATCCCCGTCTTGTGTCGTACATTGTAGTTCTGTGAGTTTTACTGGGCTGATGCTTTTCAAAAAAATCAACCCAAATTTTAATACAGCTCTGTATTTATATTTCTGTTTCAATTTATTTTTAATATGAAAAATGTATTTTGTTATTTTGCTTTGTGTGCTCTTTATGAAGCATGCTCGTGCAATAGCATGCAGGACCTTAGTAGTGCAGTTTGGTGACATCTTTTTTATTTAATTCATACAATATAAACAGTCATTAATTAAGCAATAAGTGCTTCAGTGGAGCAATAAGCCTGTGTTTAAATCTATGACTAGTGCTAAGTGGACAGCTTTAATAATGCTGGTACTAGAGCATCTTTCAATAGGCAGTGAATAAATATACAGGATACAACTTAGTAGCTGAACCGTAGTAGCTGGAATTCTATTCTATACTGCTACCATTATCTTTAATTTTGTTTGTAACTCTTCATTCTCAAAAAGGTAGGACCTTCCATCTAATGCTGAAACTGCAAAAATCATAGTAAAAATGGTTGTACTTTTTGTAGTGCCTTTTTAGAAGGGCTAGCTTGATGCAAACTTCCGGATGCAAGCTTTTGGAAATTAACTGTAGAATCTGTCCCATAGGACAGAACCATTCTGGAATATGCTCCTAAAGCTGTTTTTTGAAAGATTAGAGTTGAGTGGGAGAAGACAGAGAACTTAGAACAATTCTGTGTAGCCATTAATTCTTTGGGCAAAGAGTAAAGATTCCAAAGCTTGCTTTATCAGTGTGATGTTAAAAATTGAGGAAGTTTCTTAAATAAAATGGTAATTTTTTTTTCATATCCTCTTTAGACATTCATAACAGGCAAAACTATGTCTTAAGACAGGAACTATTTTCCTTTCACTACCCAAATGGCAAATAAAAACTATAAAATTATTCAGATACATCTATAAGGAGTATTAGGAGTTTTGATCAGGAAGCATGTCCGCTTTACATTGTAAGTCATCAAGGATATAAATGCCTTCCACTACTAAGAGTATAATGTAGTAGATTATGCATTTGGTTGCTTTTTCATACCACAGGTATATTGCAGTATATAGTCCAAGTGGTGAATACCTTTCCTTTAACTATTTTGACATTTGAACTATTCTTCCAGACACAAATGTGGAGCATATAACAATACTACAATTTCATTAGCATTTTTTCTCTGAAGATTTTTGTCAATTAAACTGATTCTAATAAGATTTTTTAGAGATTTTAACAGAAATAATCTCTCTGTATATGTGTATAAGCATTCTGAATGTCCTTTTTATCTACTTGGTTGCAATTCATGCATCACCTCAGGGGAGATGGTTCCCATTTTTAATTCCTATTCTAAGTTACAGGAGTTTTTTATCCTTTAGAGAGACCTTTATCAGAGTAAAACATAGCAAAGCAGATTTTCTTAAGAAAAGTGAACAAGAAACCTTCCTGGATTGAGAATTACTGCAGGCAGTGTTACTTACACAGCCTAACAGCCTCAGTAACACAGTGCCTGGTACAGACTAGTGCAGAGAGTATGTCGTTGGGTCCCAGCACTGGTGTTAACAGCAACCAGACTAGCCTAAATGAATATGTCCCCTACAAATAGGTAAAATTTCTGCCATTAGCACTGTTTGGCAGGGAAAGAAAAACCATAATTTGTAGGTTTACCATAGCTTTCAAGTTCACTTAAGACTGTACAGAGGCAGATAAAGTAAACATTTTTGATTGAGTTGTCTGCTGAGCCAAAAACCTCCACAATGATGGTATTATTTCCACCAAAAAAACAATGCTTTTGGGAAACACTTTAGATCTGTCTTGTATTTTGAAGGATAAGTGGTATTGACAGCTCTGAGGTTTTTTAGCATCCTATCTTTCAAGGGCCTTTTCCCCCCTTCATCACTCCATCAAATCAAAAGAGATTTCACTCTTCCCCTTGTGAGACTAGTCACCTTTGACTGTTAATAATAAGTACAAAAATCAATACCAATTCACACTCTTTGCAAAGTGGCATAAGCCTTTCTTTTCCAATTAAAATATATATATGTACACATGCAACGTTTCACTGGCAGGGCTTCAATAGAAATCAGTGTGTTTTCTTTGCAGTGCACAGGGGTCGAATGATGCCCATCTTGACAGAGCTAGTTAACTCGAAGAATGGTGGTGAGAGTCAGCTTTTCATTAAATATGAGCAGATGTGAAATGTAGAGTGTTTGACAATTAGAAATGGCAGCAGCAGGGCCCCAGAATCAAAGTGAGGTCAGATTGGTGGATCAGATTACCTCTCTTACATTCTTTAGTTGTTCTGAAAATCATTTTGAATTAGTGTCAGTGGAGCCATGATGGGTTTTGCCCTTTGTCTTTTATGCTAGGACTGTATTGTTTCCCCAGACACTCATTAAAGGTCATTATACTATTACAGGGCTTGCTTTGGTCGTGGTGCCCCAGTTGGGTTGGTTGGCTTCTACAATTGCTTAATGCATTTTTTTCTTTCTTTCTTTCCTTTTTTTTTTTTTTGTTTCCCTCACCTTTGAGTATAAAAGCAGGCTTTTTTTCTAAGGTAAATAAAACCACATACCATTGTATGAAACTTCTTGAAACAATGAGTAGCTTTTTGTAGAAGATATAGATTTATGTATTCAATGATGTACACAGAATTTAGTGTACTTATTGTATAATATGTAGAGAAAGTAACACTTGCAGTGCATTTTCCACTGTGAATGGATTTCTCTGTTATTATTTTGTTGCCTGGACTTCCAGCAAAAGAAAATCATGTTTTGATTAAATATAATTACATTAAAATAGCTTTTGTTTTTATAGGCAGTTGTCTGGAAAAAAATTGATATTATCTTTCTAAACATAAGGAAATAGAATTTTAGATTTTTTTTTGTGTCTCCATTTTTTCAGGTTTAGCTGCTTTTGGTAGATTGTTACATGAACAGCAGTCAAATGGTCCAAGCATTTTTTACAGTGGAGACTCAAGTGAATTGGAGTGAAGAGAGGCACTTAGCTACTGGAAAACTAGAGTGTTTTATACAATGCAATTATGTCACTAATAAGTGTGATGTTTCCACTTAGGTCTGTGCCAAGTCTTGAGGAGTGCCATTCATATGGTTGATACAGACAGAATCTTAACCTGAATTGTTTAATTTCTGTGTTTCTGTGTCACCGTATGGCTGTGCTTTTTAAGAACTTCAAAAGTTCATGTTCCAAGAGGAAACCTTTTCTAAACTTGTTGCTGTGCCCACTGCCATGGGAATCTAAATTTCCAAGGACATTCTTGAAACTAGGCTTAGGCATATCTAATTCAGCTTGTGATAAAACATGCTTTGGCATGCTCTGATAGTTCTGAGAAGCTTTGTGTGAAGACTTTGCCTTCAGTGAATACCAGGGATCTCTGGAGACAAAAGACAAGACTGATTATCACGGTATTTTGAATTCCGGGTTCAGCCCAAACTCCTAGCCATCTTATGTGGAAAGAAAGGCCATAATAAGACAAGCCGGAGAAAGCTTAAATTTTGAAAGTAGCCAAAGCATGTACCTACCTGTGTGCCAAGCCCAGTTTAGAACTATATATTTCATCTGGTCTTCTAGTGCCATCACGTGGTTTATGCTGAAC